CCATATTCAGCTACTGCTCCACCACCCAGTCGTACTGCAATATAGCTGTGCGCACCTTAACATACCTTAGGTAAAAATGTTGGTGCAGTGATATCTCGTCCCGCCGTCTGTTCAACCAAACAATGATACACGGCTTACGGCAGACTCCTACCCGACGGATCTGCAGGTAGCTTGAGACCACGGGTGAGAAGTGAGGCCTATCGGGTTAATCCAACGGACAGCTACTTCGATAACACCCTTGCCGGCCTGTGTCCCCTTGTTTGGGCACACTTGGCCGTTCACCGGTGCTCCGTTTTCGTCGCCGGGAGCGTGGTGCCCTCCAATAGGACAGAACACAGATTGCTGGGGACCGTGGCTTCGGAAGATCACCACGCGCACCCTGGATGTGGATTGGGGGTCTGCCAGTCTGGCACATCTGGACACCAATCTTGCGGTGAGCTACGCTGCTGCCCGCTGCTGAGGCCTTCTTCCTCCATATCTCACAGGCTCACAGGGAGGTCGGCGACCATCCCGGGCTGTCTCAGCTAGGTGTCACTTGCTGAGGAGGATCATGGCTGGCTTGGATGGATGGATGCCGAAGCGGACAGACTCCACGTCCGTAAGGATTAGAAGAGAGGTCCAGGCGATAATAGTGCTTGGCACCCACCTGACGGCTCGTAGTTTGTACGAAGATGTGAAATGTGAAATCACGCAACCGATCTCGGCCCTGCGGACAGTTCTTCCTTAATGCTTAAGGTCACTCCCGGCCGCCCGGTTTTTCTTAATCTCGTTTCCTTCAACTGAATCATACCTAATCATACCTGCGTTTTTGCAGTCTCCTATATTTGCTATCACGGGCCTATGATACCATCCCCTCCAATGTTGCGTCATGAAGCGGTGAGAGAGTCAAAGCCATCAGGACTTCCGTACAAATAGAGAAAACCCCCCTCCCCACCTTTGACTTGTGGCAAGTTACCCCAGGATCGAAGCGGATTCAGCCCGTCTACGAGCTCTTATCCTCTTGTGGCGTACGGATACTCCGAGTCAGAACCGCGGACGCTACCGTTCCCATCTCGAAGAGATGGCCGTGGTCTACAAATCTGGTGAGCCCCACGCCCCGGGCGAGGACGACTGCGAAGGGTGCCGGAAGATACACCGGGATCTAGTCGAACTATCGATTGGCTCCGAGTCTTCTGAAGAGTATGAAGATGGTGAGTTGCCTCTGTCTCTTATCGTAACTTGATCAAACTTGCTGGGCTTCGAGGAAAGTTCAAAAGGGGACAAGTGTCACAAGACGTGGGCGGGATGCTTCAGAGTGACAATTCGTGTCGCATTAGTCCCTGTAGTTCCCCTGAGAAAACAGCAGTGGACCTTGTAGCTACGGGAGCTAGAGCACTTGGGCTGGCAGCAACTGCACCTAGGGACGATCCACTCAGCCCAAAATCTTGGGACGTCCACAGTGTCCACCCCTAAGGGAGAGGTCCCTTACGGGGAGATCCACGCTGCCCGGGGGAATGGTGGGCGGAGTGACTCCCTTTTTTAGCGCATTTCGTCATTCGCCATTTTCGTTGCGAGTTCGCAGCCAATTTGGCCGATTCATCTTGGGAAATGCGTCACAATCCAACGTCTGCTTCTTGCTTTCCTGTCTCAACACGCCACATAACGTTTCCCTTTCCTTCAATTTCGATCGACCCATTCCATTCTCTCTGTTGGGTCGACCGGTCGCATTCTTTCGCCTGAGCACCTCCGCTGACAAGCTGTCCCCCGTCCCTTCTCGCGCGACAGAAGACACAATGCCCTCCGCCATTGCGGCCTCCGACCTGTCCACGAACCTGAGCGACACGGACGACTGCCCCCAGGTCGCCCCCGAACTCCTTCACAACCTCAAGCACGACAGCTCCGTCCTCGCCCTCACCGTCAGCGCCGAGAACGAACGCATATACGCCGGCACCCAAGATGGCGAGATTGTCGTGTGGTCGCTGGCCACCTTCCACCAGGAGCGCATCGTCCAGGCTCACAAGCGCAGCGTGCTGAGCCTGTTCCTTACCCCCGACGGCTCCATGCTGTTCTCGAGCGCCGGAGATCCCCTCATCAACGTCTGGTGTCCCAAGACGATGAAACGCCTGTACGAGATTTACAGCACATACGACGTTGGCGACATCTTTTCCGTGGCCTACAGCGCCCAGCACGAGACGGTGTACGTTGGGGCGCAAAACACCTCGATTCAATGGGTCAGCCTCACCGACCCGAATAATCGTACCACTCACGACTCATCACAACACCCCGACCGTCGGAATCACAGGTTCTTCGACTCCCGAGCTGTAGGAGGGACAACGACGCCGCGCCGTAACGATGAGAGGTGGACATTGATCCCGCGATCTGAAAAGGTGGTGGAAATTCATCCGGGGGCTGTGCAAATGTTTGCCCACTACGGCTATGTCTACTCGATGCTCATGGCCAAGGGCCCTACCGTTCTAGTGGAACCTGAAGAGGAGGTGCTCATCTCGGGCGGCGGAGACGGCACCATCAAGTTGTGGAAGCTTGGTGCTGAGGGAGACGATCAGGCGGCCGATAACGACCGCGAACCTGGCCTTCAAGAGCTTATGTCGCTCGGCACCGACGATGCGGAGTCGGTCATGTCTCTTGCGATTGACGGCTCTTTCTTGTATGCTGGGAAGCTGCAAGGAGTCATTGAACTGTGGGACCTCGATACAAAATCCAAGCTGCGAGTGATCAAGGGGCATAGGGGCGATGTCATGACACTGCAAATGGGTTGGGGCTATCTCCTCAGCGCCTCTCGCTCTGGTTCTGCGAGTGTAAGGTCTTTGGTTTCCTCATTTCGTTCATCGCTAATAACCCTTAGAAACACACCACTGCCCACTACGGCCAGTACCAAGACAAGCAGGTGGCGAATATTAGCCAGAAGTACCAATGCGTGGCGCGCTGGAAGGCTCACGAGGGCAAGATTCTCTCGTCAGCAGTGACAACATACAACAACAGACAGTACTACATCACCGGCGGCAACGACGATGATGTTGCCATCTGGAACATTGACTGTTCGTCTTACGAGGACCAACAAAAGGAGGTAGAGGAAGCCAACGACGTGATGATTAAAACACTAGGGGAGTTCGTGTCCTACCGGACAGTATCGTCACGCCCAGAATTCGCAGAGGACTGCCGAAGAGGTGCAACGTTCCTTGGGTCCTTGTTCAAGAGGCTTGGCGGCCATGTCGAGATGCTGAGCACCGAGAGCAGCCCCCACAACCCCGTTGTTCTTGCCAAGTTTGATGGTGTTTTGGAGCCGGCTGAGAAGCGGAAGAAGATCCTGTTCTACGGCCACTACGATGTCGTCCCGGCAGATACCAAGAAGGGCAAGTGGGAGACTGACCCATTCCAAATGAAGGGCGTCAATGGATACCTCTACGGCAGAGGCGTTAGTGACAATAAGGGCCCGATCATGGCTGCGTTGTTCGCTGTGACAGACTTGCTGCAAGCTAAGAAACTTGCCAACGACGTCATCTTCCTGATCGAGGGAGAGGAAGAATCGGCTTCTCGCGGATTCAGGGAGATTGTTCGCAAGAACAAGGACCTCATCGGCGACGTCGACTACATCCTGCTTGCCAACAGTTACTGGCTCGACGATGAGGTCCCCTGCCTGACCTACGGCCTGCGTGGCGTTTTGCACGCCACTGTTTGCGTCGACTCACATCTGCCTGACCAGCATTCTGGTGTAGACGGCTCCTACATGAACGACGAGCCCCTGTCAGATCTAACCTCCACCCTGTCAAAGCTGAAGGGGCCCGGTAACAAGGTGCTCATCCCCGGCTTCTACGACGATATCCTTCCCGTCACAGCCGAGGAGGAGACGCGCTACGACGACATTGCAGCCACGCTCATGCGCCAGAACCCAGAAAAGGGGCCCGCCGACAAGCTCAAGGCCGCACTGATGGCGCGCTGGAGAGAACCCAACTTGACGATCCATCGATACAAGGTATCAGGACCAGACGGCAGCCTGGTCAGCAGCCACGCGAGTGCTAACATCAGCTTGCGTCTGGTGCCGGGCCAGGAGGTCAACGACGTCATTGCCTCGCTGGGCTCGTACCTCGAGAGCGAGTTCGCGCAGCTCGAGTCCAAAAACTCGCTGACCATCAAGATTGATAATAAGGCCGAGCCGTGGCTGGGCGATCCCACAAACGCCATTTTCCAGACGCTCGAGGAGGCTATTATGCAGTCGTGGTCGTCCGTGTTTGCGGGTGAAGGTACAGGGGTGGAGTCCGCGGAGACAGCGGACACGAATACGCAGAAGCCCAAGAAGCCTCTGTACATTCGTGAAGGCGGCTCTATTCCCGCCATCCGCTTCCTCGAGAAGGAGTTCGGCGCCCCGGCCGCGCACCTCCCTTGCGGACAGTCGTCGGATTCCGCCCACTTGGACAATGAAAGGTTGAGGGTTCTGAACCTCCTCAGGAGCCGGGAAATCATTGGGTCCGTGTTTGCTCGTTTGTAGATTGCGAGACATTCCGGGCGCTATCTACAATATTATTCGGGAGGCGTTTTGGGTACTGGGCAGCGGCATGTCCAAGGGCACATTGTACAAATAAACAGAAAAGTAGAGGGATACCCCAAAAATCAAAGCATTTCTAGTCATTGCATTGTTCACCAGTATGTCATTAGTAAAAGTATCTCCGTCGGTCATGTGCAGGACCTGACTCGTTTATAACATGGGAAAAGATGACACTTTCAACCCCTCCGTTGACGTGATCCGACCATCGGCAAGCAGGAGCCGAGCGTCGGCCGTTGGGGCTTCCCCATTCGGCACGCCGGTTCGGACAGTTCTTATCTTATCATTCACGACGACTCTCTCCCACCTCACGTCTCACATGAGAGGGCACTTTGAATTCGCATCATAAAACATCTCATACGGAATACTTGCAAGAGATCAATTCTCGGAAGCTTACTGGGTGTACACCGTCGGGCTTTGGAATCGAGAAGATAGACAAAGGACAAGACAGTGAGAAAGGAAGATGGAGTACAAGCGTCAGTCTCCGGCCGCCGTGAAGGTGAAGCCGCGCCTCATCATCCACGGCGGCGCGGGTAACATCAAGCCGTCGAATCTGCAGCCGCCAGAGTATGCGGAGTACCGCCACGCCTTGCTGACGATTGTAAGTTCAAACATCGCAAGCTCTCCCTTGCTTCTAGTTTGAGAATCCCATAGAGACCCTCTCACACCTCTCATCAACAACACTTCAACTCCTCCATACATGGTACTCACACAACAACACAGGTCAGCAAGACAAACGCCTACCAAAACACTCCCTCCCCCACGGGCACATCCACCAGCGCCCTCCCCACAGCCCTAGAAACAGCAACCCACGCCGTCACCCTGCTAGAGAACAACCCCCTCTTCAACAGCGGCCACGGCGCAGTCTTCACCCGCGACGGCATCAACGAGCTCGAGGCCTCCGTCATGGTCTCCCGCGGCTTCGCGAAGCGCGGTGTCGGCGTCACGGGGCTGAGGCACGTCCGGAACCCGATTTTGTTGGCAAAAGCGATTTTGGAGCACGGGGATGAGGATTTGGGGGGCAACCCTGAGAGTAGTCATCCTTCTTCATCCTCTGATATTCATGCTGCTGCTGCTGCTGCCGCCAGCATCGACGCTCCCTCGGCACAAGGCCACACACTACTCCACGGCCCAACAGCCGAGACCCTCGCGAAAAGGTACGGGCTGGACTTGGTATCTACGGACTACTTCTTCACCCAGCGGCGGTGGGACGAACACATCCGCGCCCTCGAACGGGAGAGGGCAGGCCAGGGCTCGAGCACGTACAGCACGACAGAGTTCCTCCCGCAAGGCACCGTCGGCGCCGTAGCCCTAGACGAACATGGGGTCGTCTGCGCCGCAACGAGCACAGGCGGGCTGACGAATAAGTTGACGGGTCGGATCGGGGATACGCCTGTCGTCGGGGCCGGGTTCTGGACCGAGGAGTGGGTTGAGGAGGGGGATCCGACGGGGGCGTTTGCGCGTGCTGGTGGTGCTGGGGACGGGTTCCTTGTGCTGAGTGAGAGTCTGAAGGGGCTGATGGCGGATTGTCTCCCCTCGCTGAGAACCTACTCCCCCGTACCTGGCGGCATGGCTAGTCTGCGCAAGGGTGTCAAGACGACGAGGGCGATTGCGGCCTCCGGGACGGGTAACGGGGACTCGTTCATGCGCGTCGCCGCAGGTCGGACCGTCGGCGCCGTGGCGAGGTGGAAGCCTCTTTCCGGGGCTGACGCCGTGTCGTTTGTTTCTGGTCCGGGCGGGGAGTTGCAGAGTAGTGCGGGTCCGCGGTGGAAGGTCACCGGCGAGGGTGAGGGCGGTATTATCGGGATCGAGGTTGCGGTCACGAGGGACGAGGGGGGGGAAGTGGTGGGTGTAAGGTCGGAGATTCTGCAGGATTTCAACTGTAATGGGATGTACAGGGCTTGGATCGCCGATGATGGCAAGGCGTATGCGAAGATTTATCGGGATGGTGTTGAGGGGGTTGATGTGAGGGAGTATTCTGAGAAGTGGTGAGCCCCAAACCGGATACGACATTTCCAGATTGGAAATGTTCTAGAGTCAGTCGAGGAGATTCAAGATACGGAATAGAACCAAGATTTTGAGAAGAAATCAGCGAGTTGATGGTACAATTATGAACACCTCTATCCCACACAGGCTCAGTACTCGTGTCAAAAAAGGGAGAAGAGAGACTGCCTCTCTCCTCGAATCCAAAACCCCAGCCATATCGAGAACAAATGCAGGTTTTGCCCCTGACCATGCTGCCTAGTCGGAAGCCGCCTCTCGTCTTTGGTGAGTTGGAACCCCCCCTCTAAGATCATAATGGCTGTCCACCCCTCATCTCCAGTCCAGTCTCCGGCGACTGGTGCAGACTTTTTGCCCCTATTCTACATATAACGCCACCCTCTCCGATGTTGCGATTTTTTCAATGAATTACAAAAACAGGATCAAATTGCTTCGCTCCCTGGTGATGTGGAAAACAAATTGTCGAGCCCTCGTCAATATGACGAATAACAGACTTCGAGCGTTGAGGAGTAGAGAGGGGTCCGAGTTATTCTTTTCGTCGGCAAGGCGGTAGCCTCGATCACAAGCCGTTCTACGGTAAAATGGATGCTTCGTGAAGGATCGATCGTTTATGCAAGAGCTCTCTCGTCGGAAGGAGGAGGCGCCGGCATCTATCACGGGAATTGTCAGCTTCGTTTCGCCGGTCGAGCGCCTGCGACCGTTTCAACTCACCTCCAGCTTTGTGCTACCCGCGAACATCTTCTGGAAACCGATACCGACACCCTCGATAACGGCAAGAAGCAGCGCGCAACCAATGGCACCGTTTCGGGCGGCCTAATAAGTCAAGTTAGCGACATGTAGGAATCGGCCGTATGTGCAAGTTGGCTAACCTTGTATCCTCCACGGATGGCTAGCGCACCACCTGTGAGGAAACCAGCGGCGATACTGTTCCAAGGATCCTCCTTGTGTCCACGAAGACCTGAACATAGAATGTTAGTGCCCAAGACATAGATCGCGCCATAAGATGCAAAGGAACATTGCTAGCCCTGCGAGCGCTGGCGTTTCGAGGTGATAGCTCAGGCTAATGCGCCATGTTGCAACACCATCTTCGCCAGTACGCCAAGCGATTTCCCCTCGTATCTTAGAGCTTTACGGAGTTTGAGGAGATGGTTCATACTTTTTACGGAGCAGTCGAATGTTCTGTTTTTCATCAAGTCAGTCAGTAAGTTACTCGAAATCTCCAGGAGGGTTTGTAACGGTGTGGCATTCGGGATCGAGATTTCGAGTCTCGGCATAGGAGTCCACTCACGAGAAAAGACCTCCCCAAACTAGAGAATACCGTGTCAGCGTTTTCTACGAGATCAAAAGTCTCCCGAAGAGTCGTATGCTTACCTCCAAAGTTTCCTCCCAGTACGGGAGCGCGCATCTTGATGGCTGAGATGGCACCAATTCTTCTTTCACCTGATGCGCTGTTAATCATCACCGCCATCTCCGAGATCGCGCAGAGGGGTGTCATTACCATAGGGCGAGTTACGGTAGCCCTTGATACCGTGCCATACCGTTCCACCGATAGCTAGGCATGTGTCAGAATGCAAGTTTCGGGGCGAGGTTGATCGACTCGGGAGCTTGAGGTTCGAAATGGAGTTGTATTCGAGATTCGAGGAGTGCATCGATGTTCGTGATCGCAAATGGCTAGATTACTCACCTCCCATAGCAAAAGCACCGCCAAAGTCTACAGGATCATTAGTCTTCTGCTCCCAGGGGGTGATGATGGTCGGCTGAGGACGTTACCATTGAGGATGACCCAGGGGCAGGGATCGCGGGTGTGGTCCATTGTGAAAAGTTTGATGTGCGGTCGAGAGGTCGTATGATGGTTGGCGTGAAGCGTGGAGCTTTGAGACGCGACGGTTCGACGTGGGTTCGCTGGGTGATGGTCGACGTGGGTGGTGAAAAACCAGGTTCGAGATGCGATTTTGGTGATGCTTGGGTGGCTACGGCGGGTCAGGATGCGACGGGTGTCGTGAATGATTTCTCCGACGGCGGACTTTTTCGTCTGATTTGTTATCTTATCGCATGTCGCCTTCTCCGATTGGCCAGTGGGGTCAGAGGTCTCCACTGTCGGCGTTATCTCGTCATTGGCCCAATTCGGAGATGTACCTCCCGTCTTACCTGACAGCAGGAAGTGAGAGTCACCTAAAGTGACTAATTGAACGTGATATCTCGTGCGAAGAGATAAAATGGTGAACTGAGTTATCTGCAACTCAATCTTGTATGTTTTCATCAATCCTGTGTCATGCGTCAACAATTCGAACCAATCTCATCTCGTAAAGGCTGCACTCTCGCGAGAGCCAATGCGGAACATGTACCTCACATTCAATCAATGACCAGAGCAGCGTACTCCAAGTACATCGACCGCATCGGCAAAGAACCAGCACCCATGAAAGCCGACTACCACGAGCTCATCAAGACGCAGCTGGTCTACATACTTCACGATGATGAGAATGACACAGTAGTAGGCGCCATTCTACTTCGCCTTGATCCTTCAGCGAGTGCACTGCACATCAACAACCTTGTCGTAGCCCCAGAGGCTCAAGGCCGCGGATACGGTCGAGTCTTGATGAAATGCGCCGAGGATGTGGCGAGAGATTCGCAATGCATATCTCTCCAACTCTACACCAATGTCAAAATGTATGAAAATCTCATTCTGTATCCCAAGATGGGGTTCGTCGAGACAGAGAGGAGGACGGAGGATGGGTACGAGAGGGTGTACTTTCGTAGGGAGCTTGATGTTGCATAGACTCCACCGCAATCTGTCTTGTTCACACTCATTGAATGAGGAAGGGCCCACGAGCGCAACATCAGGAAGGAAATAGCCGCCGTAGACTCGGCTATATCTCATTTCAGGATATTTAGAGTAGGAAAACAATTCGACAATGCAGGCACGGCTTCAGTCTGCGGTTGTAAGATACCAGCTGAACCCTCATGCTGGAGGCCTTCAGTGAGCTAAACTCGATTGACACACTGGGAACTGAGACAGCCCAACCAATGAGAATCCACACTGAGCTTCCGTTCCGTAAGCGGAACAACTCATGTGGCGCACGTCATGCTACCTTGACGCACTCATCTCATCACTGTACAGTACAGATAATCCAACTTCATCTCAGTGAAAGCGACGACAGCTTCTCTATATCTTAAAAACTTGGATCCCTTCGATTCCTTCAATCGAAGTCTGCAAAGTCATTGGCCCGTCCCACTTTTTCTACTTAGTTACGCCAGTGCCATCACATCATTCGGGCCATCATGGCCTCCCAAGATAAGCACGACGACACAGGCTCTGATACAGCTTCAGAGTTCCACACCCCAATCTTGACGCCTGCAACAACATCCGTAGCAGGCGAAGATGTCGAGGACGATCATGTAAGCGACATACCGTGGCCCGGCAAGCACTTCTACATCATCGAAAAGGAGACCGGCAAAGCCATCACACTCGTTGATGACAGGCCAGTTCTCATGGACCTCCAAGGCGTCCGCGATCCCGCCACCATGTGGTATTGCGTCGAGAAGCAAGGGTATTTCGGGTTCTTAAACAAAAGCTGGGGGAAGTTCATTGGTCATGACAGCAAGAGCGACGTGGGTGCGTGGGCCGGGGAGATGAGGGAGTGGGAGTCGTGGATTCCTAGGCAGCATCCCGATGGGGGCTACCAGTTGCTGTCGCCGTATTGGACGCATACTATGATGCAGCTTTGTGTATGTCCTGACAGGATCAATCTGTGTAGGCGGTCTCATGGGCCAACGTTGTGGGAGTTCATGCAGGTTCCATGGTAGGTCTGGCTTACGCATGGACGGGAGTCGCAGGTCTTGTTGCCGGTGATTTAGCGACTGTGGGCAAGTCGGAGGCGTTGAAGATTTCGATTAATAGGACGGATCCGTGACTGAATGTCATAACTCGACGTATTGCAGAACAATAAACAATACTGGGAACTTAGCTGAGCTGTTTCCTCTCACCTGCTTGAGGTGCAGCAGCACGTTGGATGGCAATGCCAGCAATAACACGGTCGCTGTCTCAATGGCCAAATGAGGTGAACCAGCTTCATATGCCTCTCATACCAAGGCCATCTCTTGCGATGTTTGGCATGAGTCTCTGGACATCCCAGCCTAACATGGACTTCCCGTCCATTGTGAGAGTCACCAATGATCAGAAAAATCAGTAGAGCAAACGTCAGTGCATGTACGGAATGCTGCTTCTTCTGACGAACTTTGAGTGTGTATATCGTACTCGGGTCAGGACTCGCGACCTCAAACGTTGGAGAGCAAAACATATGTGATCATGGGAGAATTATTCATTGTCTATTACATCATTATGATATTGCGTCCTAAAAACCAAAGTCATGGCCATCTTCATAGCATCACCTGTGGAGGTCTATTCGTGCCACGTCCATATATACATGTATCTTCATACGCTTTACAACAAGGCGGCGCCGATAGCAACACCAGCCACCAATCCAAACAGCTCGCGAGACGCGCCGGTAGGAACAGCGGCGTTAGGGCTGTTGGTAGTAGCAGCAGTAGTCGCAGCAGAACCAACAGCCCGCGTGCTACGAGCAGACTGGCTTCCGGATACCGACCCAGCACTCGTTGTCAGGGTAGTCATGGTAGCATTGCTGAAGCCGCTCGAAGTAACAACAACAGCCGTCGCAGACGCAGCCGTCTCGCTCTCAACAGCGGCAGAGTCCGTCGACGTGGTCACGGTGGCGACAGAAGCGCTGTCAGAGGCACTGGCGGTAGTCTCCGGGGCGGCAGTGGTGGTGACGGCTGCCACAGTCGTCGAGACCACGGGCGCGGCGCTGGTCTGCAGGGGCAGGAAGGAGGGCGAGTAGGTCTCGGTGCCCTCGTAGGAAGGGCAGCCGGGAACGGTGGTCTTGGGAGGGGCGCGGCCGCCGCCGCAGTCGAGGGCGGCGCAGATCTCGCCGGTGCCGGGGACGAACCAGACGCGGGTTGCGTAGGGTGTGCCGCCCTGGGTGGGTGTGACGACGGAGTCTGAGGAGACGCAGCCGGCGAGGTCGGTCTTTGCCAGGACAGCGGTGGCCATGATGGCGAAGGAGGTGATGTATCTGAGAGACATTTTTGCTGTGGGTTTTGATTTGGTGTTATTTGGTTTGATGTTGTCGGGTATTAAGGCGGTATAATAGCTCCGGTAGCGATGTAAGAGCAGTGCAAACGATTGTGTTGATTATGAACGAATGGAATGACCCGAGGGCGAGTGAAGGCTTCGAAGTCGATGACCGTTATCAGGATGAAGAGAGAGAGAGAGAGAGAGAAGAAAATCAAAACACGCCTCGTCGTCGAAAGATCTCTCCCTCACAGACTTTTGTATGTCCAGACAATTCCAAGTTCCCAACAACGGCTGCCTTAACCCCGGGTCTAAACAACGCCCCTGGACGGAGCTAAGCGGGGTCTGAGACGGGAATCTTGCGCCACTTCATCTCGGAAGCCGCCCTAGCGGTCATTAAGGCCATCCTACAAACGCCCGATCCCAACGGCTCCGCGATCCTGTGGCTGTTTGGTATGTCTCATAGATGGCCCATTTTGAGATGCCGTTGCAGCCGTTCCGGTCAGATTTTTTCTTGTCGCAGATCCATCCATCGTTCTATGAGGGAAAGCCTTTTTTCTTTCTTGTTCCGTGGATGAAAACGTACCTCAACACACTAAGACGCGCCAAAAATAATCCTCCAGTCGTGAAAACTGCACCGCCCCTTTGACGGTAGTCCACCGGTCTCGAACGGGCGAATACGGCGCGGACCACCGCGCCGGGATCTCAATCCTTGCATTGCTCATGTTTTCCCCCCCTCCAATGGGACTTTGGGTCTCCTCGATCCTATTTGCTGGGGCTTCGTATGCTAATTCCTTGCTGCAGGTACCGGTAATACGAAAAGCAAGCGTAGTGGCGTGAGTGGCCCAAAGTCCCAACAGCTGTTTGTTTTGCGAATTAAATTTCATTATGCGTAAATCGCTGAGTGAGAATCCCTGCCATACCTACCTTGACTTTCAAAGTCTAGACACCAGAATAGCCGTTCAACAGGGACGTTCTTGATAGCCGGCCAAGGGAATGACGACATGACACCTCAGGCCCCTTGCGAGTACGTGTACTAAGGTAAGTCAGGGCTCGAGTCCTCCTCGGAACAATGAAACTTGGTTGTGGGCTCGACATCGAGGCGCTACAAGACTGGTCGCGTACGTTTCTAGCTATCGATCAAGTCTCTGCATATGAATTCGCTGCACGCATGTTTGTCTGATCAACAAGGGAGAGGTCAATGCTCAACCGCTAAAGCCCTTCGGAAGCGTGTTACCCAAAGTGCTTACGAAAACAGCAAAGTCGGAACAAATGGACTTGAGCCTCTACCCTGTCGAGGCTGTATGGGTCCGCTTTCGTTTGTCGGAATTTCGGCATATTCTTCTCGGTAGTTCGAGTCTTGAGTTGCTCCATGATTACTCCGATTTTCGAAATATCTCAAAGAGTGTTGGATCAATTGCAGGGGCTACATGAACAAATGAACGAATCATATGCAGATCCAAAGAAGGACTGGAACTATATTGGAATAGAACGTAAGATATCTGTCGGGCGAACCACTTCAAGTTGTGGCAGAGCTTTCATTCGCTCCTAGGTAAAGGGTACACCGATATCATGGGTGAGAGAAATGTTTGAGCATATCAGCAGGAGAAAAAGGTCACGAAGATGGAAAGCATTCTGTTCAGAACTTCCGACAAGTCGTCAAAGCATACGCTCAGGTAAATGACAGTCAAGATTGTAAGAGCAGGTGTAGTTGTGTTGAGCTGGGAGATGCCAAACGGCTTAAAGGTATCTACTTTACCCGAAACTCTGTATCTACCCAGTTATGGTCTCAAATGACACTACATGACGGCGGGTGCAGATGAAGCATGAAGCCTTTGATGACTCTAAGTTGGAGGTTTTCGAGTCTCTTTGTCTGATTCTTCGATTTCGGTTCTCTCATTGCTGGACTTCGATAATTCGTACAAGAGCCAAGTTTTCGAACACGTCCCGGATTGGAAAGTCGAACCGAATCCTTATTCCACCAAAGGATTTGTCCGATGTCGACCTGACACTTGATTGTTCTCGTCAAGTCCGAAGCCAGTATGGCTGTTTCTTAGAAATATTCATGTTCTAGGCGACTCGACCAAGTACTCTTTGAACGCAAGCGGTTACGCTGCCTCGCGAGTCCTTTCATATGAACACTCAATAGGCAACACCAGCTGTTGAGTCACTTGCCTATATATCTTACTGGTTCTCGTAATAAACACGCCTTCGATTCCCAATCTCCAACGGTACTTGATAAGTCACAGTTCGAGTTTGATCATCTCGCCAAGATTGACAGCGTCCTGATCGTCAAATCTATCAAGACAACTACTCATCAACGTCGAGTTATCTCAAGCACCCAAATTGCACCAAGCAGCCAAAATGTGTCAAAAAGTCGAGATTCTGATCGTTTGTTGCGAGCAAAACTGCTCAAACGTCTACAACAACGGCCTCCGAAAGCCTCAGATGCGTCTCATTCCCCACCCCGAAACAGCATTCGTCCTTTGCGGCCAGGCTCTTGACCTCGGCTACGTCAGCGACCGCTTTTTCATGGACCTCCCCGTCATGTCCTCCGTCCCCAGAAACTGCCCCGACCTGCTCGAGAACTACAATTTCCAGCTCGTCCTCTCGCAGGTCGCTTCGAAGCACATCATGGAGCTGGAGACCAACTCGCGCATTCAGTGCAAGACCTGCTCCGGCACGGGAAAGCCCGTGATAGTGTCAAAGTCGGGCAAGAAGTCTTCTTTTCAGTCGACGGCACCGTCTTGCAACGCCCATGTTGAGGCTAAGTGGACGTGTTGTGCCGAGGGCAAGTGTAATCCTCGACAGGAGTGTGAGAGTCATGCTTCTGCCCTTCTGTGTCGGGACTCTGATTGGGCCAAGGAAGGTGAAAGTTGCATCATGAGAGGCGATGGTGATTTTGATCTCGATGTGGAGAAGATTGCTTAGAAGTTGGCCGGTATTGATCAAAGGTAGTCTATGAATAGTGAAGCGTTTATTAACTTGTGATAAGTTGGCTTGGCATGACATAGATGTTGGTGGGCAAGTGATGCAGATTGGAACGGAATTCTATATGCGCCTGAGTCGACTCATCATCAAAACTTGGCCCTGTTCAAGAATTAGCAGTGAAAGGTGACGAGCAGAAGCTGAATTGTGGCATGATGTTATATGTATCGATATGAAGACCTCGCTTGAGCGTCCACAAAGTGTTCTGGTCTTTGCTCAAGCAATGAAAGTTATTCGCTGTACTGTATGGTCTCTACAACCTAGGTGCAGCGGTTCAGGCATGACTCAAGTTGTTAATCATCTCTAAAGCTCATGGACGTATGCCGTTGCTCCAGAATGCATCGAGCCCTACATTGCGCCATACAGTGGACCAAGCACGCCATGTGGTTGTCCCAACCCAGAGGATAAGCTTATTTTTGACCTTGCATGGCTTGTTCTGGAACACTTATATGCAGATGCCATTCTGGCTCACATTGCTATCAGAGTCTTGGGACTTGACGCACGCATGATAGGCTTGCCAATCCTCCCATTTTGTTCCGAAGCGTTGGAGAAACTCTTGAGCTGATCCACCATGCAGACCTGAAGATTGTCTCGCTCATTTAAAACGAATTGCCAAATTAATGCGATACTTTCGACGACTTTTGGCCGTGGAATCTGCTTGAAATTATCTTGGCTTTCTAGACATACTTAAGTTGCGATTCTCGTCTGCACCGGACGTCATAGATAG